GCAAGACTGCTCACTGCTAAAGGCCATAAATAAAACATTTGTCAGATTTGGACATGTTTGTCTGAGGTGTGATTATAGCTATTATGCAGCAGGTTAAGATAATTACTCATTTTGAATTATTCAAATCTCAGTGAAATGACAAAAATTAGAAGAAACTCTGTTTTAGAAAGAGTATATTTTCTGCAGGTCCACACTGAGTTGATGATTTACTGGTTTTGGAGACTGTTGGTATACAGACAGGTTAGCAGTCTTTACTGGAAAAGAAAACCTCTGAAACCTCTGAAATCTAGGAATATATAAAGAACTGAGTTCAGTCAGTAAACATGCTTTTGGCTTTAGTCAGGGCTATTAAATATGGCTCACAAATTTCAGAATTAAGATCAGAATTTGTCTTTCAAGCACCAATTAGGCGTATTAAACAGAGAGATCCGATTTATGTATCTCCTTAACCTTATGTTAACCTCATCTGATTTATGTACCCCCTCAACTTCACGAGATTTCTTCTAAATTTAACTTGTTATTTTATTGCACTTTGTGTCTGTTTCCTTATATCAAATGTCAAAGTTTCCAGCAAACTCAGAACTGACCCCTCTTTGCTTCCACTGAAGTCAGTGGTGAAACTTTTGTGGACTTTAAGAGTGGGATTTTATAATGTCACTGTCTGTGAAAGTGGGAGGTTGAACTCTGTGCCCTCAGGAAATTTGTTCCAGTCTTGTGATCCTATGATTTGAGTGGGAACAGAGTAAGGCCAGTGTGAGTCCTTTTGCAAATCCAGTCTTAAACCTTGCCTACCTAAACAAGAACATCTGGAAGAGAGAGGCGCTCTGTATAGGACATCTATAATTTTGCAAGAAAAGTTACAGGGCTGGCTGGATTCACAGTGCTGTAATTATCCAATCAAAGCATTTGCCAAAATGTGGTTTGGAAGGTCAGAGCTTAACCTATATATAAACCTGAAATGTCTTCCAGCCCATCAGGTGTACTGTATTCAGTAAAGCAGTGCCAGTTTGTAGCTGTGTGCCTTGTGAGAGCAGTTTCTAGATCAGGCAGGTTCAGATCAGCCATGGAAAATTCTGTTTTGCCACGTAAAGAAGTGGATGTGGCTGTGGGCATTGTTGGATCTGCTGCCAGCAGAAGGAAAGAAGGAAACGACTAATAGCCAAAATCTCTTTTGCAGCTAACTGCTGGCTGGCAGGTGGTGCCGTGGACATCTGTAGGTTAAAGGGCTTTACTCTGTCATTAAAATAGGCATTAGTGTTTCTGCATTTATCTGCAGCTGAGGTCAGCTGGGCGGAAGATTGGAAAGGGAAAACACTGGAAGTCTCAGTATATTAATCTCATCTGAGATTATGAATGCTTCATCCAGGACTGAGAATGAAAAAAAAAAAACCTCACAAACACCAAACCAGCCCAAAAAACAATTCCATGTGGGTGGTGAGAGGTTGCAAGAGTGACTTCTGTGAGATTCAGGGCAAAGAATAAGCAAAATAAAATGTGTTTTAGGTATGAATGTGTGATCTATGGATGTCTTCCGCATGAGTGGTCACGCTTCTGTGCCTAGCATGAGCTGCAAAGTGCCATTGTATGTTGTATGCGTCTAAAATTAATGTTATTACCGTGACTCTATCCCACATAAAGGGATAAAAAAAATCTTTTAATATTGAAGTAGGAATTTTAGCTTGTAATCAACTGTAGAACACATTACATGTACCTAATAATGTGTGTGCTCGCAAGATTAATTTGACTACCTTCAAAAGATTTCAATAGCAGTAAGCTAGTAAACTTCAGAGAAAAAAGTACAGGAGGCCAAATTCAGGTGTCGGAGGTGTAAACCCAAGGAATTTATTTTGCTTTTGTGGAGTTGCTTTGAATTTCCTTCCTGAGAGAGTAGATTTTAGCTTAGCAAGAACACTTCAGCATACTTGACCCATGGGCTAACAGAGGTATATGTGGATTATGAGACTTGCCCGAGGTCACTAGGTGAGTCAGGGAAGCTATGGGGAAAGAATCAGTCTGGTGAAATCCACTGATGCACTCAGACTTGACTTACAGTGGAATCCAGACTAGGGTCTTTTTTTTGAAAGAACCACAACTGGTAATTTGAAATTTTGCATCTGAACCTAGAGAGATTACTTGTTCCAGTGGTAGGAATTCAGTTACTAGTACTGTACACAGTGCAAGAGGGCAACATCGCTCTTAAGTAAAAACAAAGCTTAAGTCATAGGATAAAAAAATACATTTTCTTGTTCATGTCTTCATTAAAAAAAAGAGGAAATAATTGAAAACATAAACTGACGAGATATAATCTGGAAAAGTAAGACCTGGGGGATCTACTAGTGCAGGCAGATAACCTCTGGAGAGGATGTAATGGTTAATTCTCCATCACTTACGGAGCTGATTTCTATTTTTTCCTATCTTCCTCAATAAATGCCACAGACTGTCACCCTAGATGTAGAAGCTGAAATTTTGTAACAGGGGTTATGCAAGAGGGGATATTATTTTTAAAATAGAGAAACCATTGACAATATGAACTGTAGTAGTTTCCACATGACTACAATCACTGTGTTCCTCTAAAACGATTGAATAGTCAGTGCTCAAGGGGAAGAGAAAATGAAGTGCAGTGAGTCTGTTGCACAAGTCAAGCTGTGATCAGAGGGTCACTGCTCCCGTACGAGCTCAGACTCCTTGTGAATGTAATGTTGATGATGACTTTGCTACTCTGAGATAGATGTCAAGTAAGCTTGTGGCCTTTAACATGTGACAGTGCAATACCAAATTAACCTTCACTTATACTTAGCTGGAGACTTTCAGCCTCTACCTCTTAAAAGATTAGCTCCGAAATATAACAAGAATAGAATGATTTTTAACTCATGGGACCCTGTGCTGCTTTCTTACCTCACGTTCATAGGTGTGAACTCGGGCTGGGCTGTTTGGGAGGTTATATGGAGTGCAGTAGGTCGATTCATCCTTCCATCAGATGTTTAGTTCAGCAAGGGCGAGAGCAAAGGAGCTAGCACTAAGGTAACAACCTTGGCAGTGGTGGCAGCACATCAGGTTTTTTCAGCTTGTCTTCTGGGAGATAGCCCATGCTTGAGGTTTAAACTTCCTTGGGAAGGATTTCCCGTGCAAAAGCAAAGACTTTTAGCATCAACATCGAGTCCTGGGTTGTGGCGGTTTCCCTGTGTCATGAATTATTTGGAGTAAAATGTTTTTGAAATCTAATTTAGTCCTTTCTATTCTCTGCCTGTTTTCTCAAAGAACAATGCAACAAGGCTAGTCGGTGGTCTGTTCTGGTACTCGGGTTCTCATCAACTGTACAAGTATGGTAACACCGGAATTTCCAAGTTGCAGGGAGGACATGTCGTAGCCCGTATTGTATGCACCCCAGACCTCAGATTCAGATTTGATTTTGAGTGGTTTGGTAACAGCTGTCTTTCTGTGAGGAGGGGAAGGAAGGAAACTTAGGCCACCTTTGCAAATCATCCATTTCTCAGAAGACTAAAAGAAATCTTTAATGAAATGAATGGACACAACTTTTGCATCTGTGTGGTAAATGATCTCAAGGACAGGGCAAGACCTGATCACTAGGAATAGCAAGGCAACAGCTGACAGCTCTGTCCTCACCCTACAATTATATGGAGAGTAATGCCAACCTCCTGCTGAGGACTTCGTGGCCACAGCAGAGCCCTCCTGCTTTTAAAATATATTGAACTGTTGAAAGGCACTAAAATAATTAAAGTCCTGTTCTTTCTCAAGCCGCCTTTTTTGACTTCTGTGTGCAAAATTGACAGCCTGCAGATATTTTTATGTTTGTGTATGAGAAAAGAATGCTTGAGGCATTTGTTTAAAATCCTCTGTGACACAGAAGAATAATTCTTGATGAATATTAAAGTCAGGATGTATGTATATATATGCTCACACATGCATGTGAATATATGTTTGCATATACGTAATGCACGTGTATATATACATATGTACATATTTGTATATATGTGTATATAGACATGAAATAGAATTAAATCTTAATTATGTAAGTTATATGACATTAGAAGAGTTTATAGAATTCTGTCTACAAAATCAAATTAAATTTATCAAAATAATAATTTAAACCTTTTTAAAAATAAAGCCTGTAAATCTGTGAAAATTACATGTGAACCTGTGGGAGTTTGGTCGATTGGTTGTAAGGGAAGGAAAGATGAAGTACAACATTTGTGAAAACTGTCATCTCATTTTCACATAGTCTGTAAGGTCAGGACTTGCTCCCTGTATGTAGATGTATGCAGGCAACATAGACATCTCCATTTCAGCTACTCACTTGAGGTTCCCTGTGTAGAGAGCATGGACATCTGGCTCACATAATCTGTGGATTCCTGGGGTTATTTGTCTCATCCTAAAGCAGACATTTAAACCAGGATAGAGATATTGTGTAGTAAAAGCTGTCTGTTCCTCCTGATTGTACAAGGAGTCTGGTGTAATTTACTCAGAGGTAGACATCTACCTACCTTGCAGGTATCTGAGGTGAAGCCTGTCTTAGGAAACCAGCTCCTGTTTTAGATATAGATATGGATGTCTGGTGAAGGTTCTGGAAGTGCTCAGTCATATGCAATATCCTCATTTGCTTTCCAAGGAGTTAGTGGCTCAGGAACCTGTGTGGAGGCATTATGACCCATGTCTTTTAATGTAATTAGGCCTGTTCAAAAACCTTTTACTTAAATCACTTGGATGTACATTCAATTCTGGATGGAGCCGCTCCAGATTTACCTCTGTATTAACTGAACACCTTTATAACCTAGTTGTACATCACTTCTGAAAATGGGACTGGACCCTCTAGTCAGTCAGAGGCCTTTGGATGTTATAGTTCATTTATCCCCAGCTGATGCAAAGGAAGGTGAAAGTCTTTCATTTGGGAACTCTCCAATGCTTTTACTTACATTTTATGTTCCTCTGAGGTTGTTACTGATTATTCTACTTTTATTATTTTTGTATGGTTCATTTTACAGAGTATTCTGATATGTGGCAACCCTTAAATGTGTCCTCTGTTCTCGTGGATTCATCCATCTCAAACTTTGAAGTTGTGCAAGTTAGTAGAGATATATCCAATGACTTCTCCACTGCCAGAGACTTTTGTCTATCCGGTAAGAAATGGTTATCCATAGCTATAGAGAAAAAGCTGGCTTGTGAGCCTGAAAAATTAAGAACAGCTCCCTGAAAGCATAATATATAAGAATTTTATAACAATGTCATGCAAAATACTTGGAGAATACACTTCTACCTTCTCTTTTTCTTCATGTTTCATCTCACAGCTTGTTCAAAGAACCAGTCGTGTACAGTGGTTACACTGGAAACCCAGCCTTCAGCAATAAGATGCCTACTCTACCCTGATACACAGATATGCACACATGGCCTGCAAGGGTACAGCTGCTGGATTTTGCTCAAAGAGCCAGCTACATATATCTATAGGAGACAAGGTAAGAGCAGGTTAAGTCTGTGGAGGAAGGAAATCAGCTGTGGTGGCCTGTGCACAATTCTTGTGAATGGAAGGGTGAGGCAATACTCACTAGTCATAAAGTAATATGGATGTCTCCTAGGCAGTTGTCCATTGCTGTTTCAGTGGAGTTACAACCAAGAGGGATGGGACAATGTCCCCAAATACTTTTTATAAAAATGCATGAAATAGTAGTGTTACCCTCTAGTGTTGAAGCGGGTATAACCAAGGAAGTCTAGTCTACAAAAGATGTTTTGGAAAGTGCAGAATAGTAAGAACAAATCAAAATAACAGTAACGAAAGTCCAGCTCCTTCCTTTTCACCTGCAGAAGGTGTTTCTGTATGTTCTTCCCATTAAACTCTGAGAATAACATATGGATTGTTGAAACCCCACTGTCAACTGAAAGTCCTAAGGACCATCTCTGGAGAAAACAAACCAACCAACCAACCCAAACAAAGAGAAAACCCTAAACCAAGATGAACTAATATTTTTAAAAGTGAAGATTATTTAAGAGAGAAATAGAAGTTGGGTAGACTGGTAAAATTTCTGTTGTTTGACTAAGTACTTATTTGTAACTGTAATTTGTTTGTTTGTTTGTTTTTTCCTTGATTTTAAGAGACCTATTTCTTTTTGTATAATACTGATTATTTTTTTATTAGAAGTAATTAGAAATGAGGTAACAATAAGGGGAAAGGAAGAAATATTTCCATTTCCCTGAAATTTCTGTGAAGAATCGACAAATCAGTGAGAACCTTCTAGGTTCAAACTCAGTGGGAGAAAAGGTGGTTTATTGTTGCCAAGTGAAGCAAAATCAGACACTGAGACATAAACGCTAGACTTGTGTTTGTATATTTATGTATAGTTTTGGTTTTAGTCATGTGACTTAGAATCTGGTTCCTGCCTTTTATATGCATTGTTTTAGGAGTGAAATAGTACGAGGTATTACTTAGCTCTGTTTTAAGGTAAGGCATTATTGAAAAACCTTTTCTTTGGATAGATAGCCAGTGATTCAGATAATCTTTATATAAGGAAGAAAAAAAAAAAAAAGCTTGATCAAACTATAAACCCCCAATATTTCATAATTTCTGCAAGTAAAATACAAACTCAGATAGATACTATGCTTCATCTAAAATATAGATACTGGCCTAATTTTCTGTGAAAGAAAATGTCAGTATTCACACTAGAGTGTAAAGCAGGAGATGGTGGTGAAGACCCTGTGGTACCCTACACTCCTGTGTTCCATTCTCTGGCATGGGGAGGGCATGCTGGTGCCTGGCTTAAAGTGAGCACTTGCCCTGGTGATCCCCACGCCAAGAACAGCAGTCCCTACACAGGACTGTAGGGAATTTGGACATGGATAGTGCTCATTGCCTTCAGTAGAAGCTCTTGTGGCTCGCATGATCAAACAGCTATTGGAAGGGAAACTGAAGTGCGAGTCTTTCCTAAACCCATGAGCTGTGTGGTTATCTTTCCTCCCTCTGACTTGCTATAAATGTTTAAATGTTTAACATCGTGCTTTTTAGAGCTGAGGGAGGGGAAAGTCTGAAGCTCTCTCCTTTTTTGTAGAAATGCTCAGATTGATATTCTAATGTGATCTCTGATCTGGAAGAACTGTTTGAGTAAGGGTTTGGAAAGTTAGATGTTCATATCCATCAGC